TGTATACGGTGTGAGCAACAATTTTCAAGACTTTGGTGGAACTGCTGTTTAGATAACGAACTGCAGTAACACTAACCCTTTGTATCCACTGTTTTAATGGCGTTTGTTTTGTTGACATTTGGGTTTGTAGTGTGTGTATGTAAATGTGTGAACAAGGGAGAAGGAGGGTTGGTAGACCGTTGTATCTCAATGATTTGAAATATTTTAAATGTCAAATATGGCAGGGACGAAGAGCGAAAAAAAAAGCCAGGTGATGGTGTTGTTATGCATTTGAAGTTGTTTTGTTCTATAGTGACAATTTTCGGTGTTTCAAACAATACAGTCATGACGATTTGTATTGGTCATGTGTTATTGGCTTGCTGTACTAGCAGTAGTGTCTTTATATCGGCTAACTGGCGATAACTGATGTGTGTCAGATGGCGGTTAAACCATGAAGCGGTCGGTGAATTGGTTTCTGACTCAGTGGTTATGGTTGCTAGCAAGCGTAGTTGTTGATTGTTGCCGACTTCTTCTACTGCTTTTTTCCGTAATTTGTAGGAGTTTTATTACATGCTTTATTGTGGTGAATCGGCAGTAGCTCAGCTAGTTGGGCTAAAAGCCGAGAAAATGCGACTGCGCCGATGGCCATTGTCATTTTTCGTATTCAAAGGAGTGTATAAAGGGTTTTTTTTGGGAGTTGCAAAGATAGAATTCATGAAATGGATATTAGCAGTATTAATTTTTTTAAATTTTAGCGAAAGGTTCGTTATTTGTAAATAAGGATGTCAAAGAAGTTAAGAACACTAAAAAAAAATTGTATAAGGTGGTGGTGGAAAATGAAACCGTAAATGAGTGGTGGTTTACACCTTTGAATTTCTGTAAAAATCAGTTTTACTAAATCAGTGCAATTTCCCTTATTCAGTCCTATTCTGTTATATCTTCGGGTAATTTACTTTTGATCGCTTCAAACAGACTAATGATTATCAACGACGGCGGAGGTGATTGATGTCGTAGAATCCTGTTGCCTACTCTTGCAGCCGCTGCACGCTTTTTTTTTTTCTGATTTCTGTTGTTTTTCTTCATCGTGATTGATTGACGAATAGTTTTGCTAAATTTGAAAGTGCTCTAATGATGAGTTTCAAAGTCTTGATCGTCGCCGTCTTCATCAACATTATCATTATCGTAATAAGAGTAGCTTGTTGCTGGTGCGACTAATAGAGAACGGTTTGTATTGCTGAAGTATCTGAACGCTGCTGTGACCGGTTATTCAGTTGTTTTCACTAGTATTCCTGTATTGACGATGAAAGCTGCTTTTAAATGTTTACATTTCATGAAGTTTATCCCCTTACTGTCAAAAAAAAAAAAAAAAATATTTTCTTAATATTGGACTGACGAACGAACAGTAAGTGATAAACGAAAAAAAATTGTTTAGCCCTTTCGAAAGATCAAAATAAAAGCAGTTAGCCAGTTGGTTTTTAAAAAAATGCTAGACGTCAGCTGGATTAAAACTGACTAACTATCTCGTATTTTCGAATAATATCAGAAGAAGGAGATTGATGTTCGACTACCAGCCAGCCTTTTCATGCCATAAAATGTGGCATTATTGTCTATTAAAGACAAAAATAAATAAATATAAAAGATATCTCTGTTATATATACGAAAATTTTGATAATACTTGAATGAATTATGCCAGTAACGGTTACGAGGGGCCAGTGAAATATTGGTCAAAAATTTTCAGATCGACGATGAACCTTCAGATTCAGGGCTGCAACAGGAAATCCAAAAGGATGGGTGAAATTACAGAACTGTATCGACCGGGAATGTTCAGTATGGGAATGGATGTTACTAAGTGCAGGTCTAACCGGAGGGTAAAAACGAAAGTACTCACATATCCTGGGAGCGAAAAACAAGAGACAACGAAAGAGAAACAAAGTAACTGTGGCATGATGATAAATTTTAAGAAAAAGTGGCATTCGGTTAACTGCTTCAGCTAATTAACGTTTTTTTATAGCCCAGAAGGTGAGCAACGAGAATGTCGATTCATCGAAGAAAAAGCGACGAAGACGTAGTCGTCGAAAGACAAAAAGAGGTCACTTGGACTGAACATTATCTTTTTACAGTTATTTACTTGGAAAAACTTATTTAATTTTTTCGGAAAATTAATCGTTAGGAGATAATTGCAGAATCTAGTCATACAATATGTCAAGAATCTACCATGAACTCAAATGAACCAACTGTTGAACAGAATTGGGAAAAAAAAACGGTTGTACAAGTGGAGCATTATAACAGTCGGTCTAAGAGAATTCATGTAAGGTTGTTTACTGTAAGCTACTTTTTTTTCCACCTAACTTCTGCTAAACGACGTAAAATATACCAAGACCGTTCCGAAGTCTTAGTAGTTCTTATGTAAATTGATCCTCTATTAACGCTTCATTATTTTTACGTCTTCATTTTCTTTTTTGAAATAATAATCAACAGTTCTGAAAAATTTTTTGTCGGCATTAAATCTTTCAAGGAGCCTTCTGATGCATTCAGTCTAGCGTTCTCTCTACACCGTTTACTTTGTTTAACTACTGCAAGTAATCTTCCAAATGAAGTTTATTATCAGTTAACTATAATCCTAAAGTGACAAAAAAGATATGGTTGCATTTACTCACAGTCTTCTGATACACTAACTACATTAAGTATCTGGTTACCGGTGTAAAATGAGAAATTGAACAAAAGTTCTTTTTGACTTAAAAAATTTTTTTTGCTAGCTCTGCAACACAAATCAAAAAGTACCCAGTACTGAATAAAATGATGTTTTGAAACAATTTTGCCAAAGAATAGAATATTTTTTATCTTTTATCATCTTGCTCACTGGTTTTTTTGCCGTTGGTTTAAAAGACACACATGGATCTTTCTAACAATTAAAGTTCTGTGATGGAAATCAAGAAAAAAAATTTTTTTTCATAATGATTTATAAGTTTAATGTAACTGTATAGTATAACATTTCACTTAAAAACTTCATTTTGAGCCACCAATGTATGAGATCCCCATACAAACTAGTCGTCCTTGTCTGATCTTAGAATTTTTGCTCAGAAAAGCAGTCTCTTTTTAAATAAACTATCTTGTAATTTGGTAATGGTCAAAGAAGTCATCATCTCATTTACGATCAGTGGCAGTTTCGTGTGTTTACATCTGTGTGGGTCTTCTTTTTTTTTTTT